ATTGTCAAGGGCTCGTTTAAGTACTATTATGTAGGATTTTTTTTTTTTTTCCTTTGGGGAACCAGGAATCGAACTCAGGGACACTCAACCACTGAGCCGCATCCCCTGTCCTATTTTGTATTTTATTAGAGATAGGGTCTCACAGAGTTGCTTAGCACTTCGCTGTTGCTGAGGCTGGCTTTGAATTCATGATCCTCCTGCCTCAGCCTCCCAAGCCGCTGGGATTACAGGCATGTGCCAAAGCACCTGGCATATCGGTGCTATTATTTAATTCTCCTAAAACCCTACCGATGGGTGATGTTTGTTCATAATTTAAAGATGCAGAAATATAGGCTCCAGAAAGGTAAGTAGCCACCCTGGGGACACTACCAGTCAGCGTCACATAGCACTTTCCCTTTAGAGGAGGGAAGGGGCATGTGGATAGAAGAGGACGGGAGTCAGCCTCAGAGAGAAAGGAGCCAGAGAAAGGAGAGAGAGTGTGCCAGGAGGATGATCTAGAAGGGAAGATGTCTCATGGGATGGGGCTAGTAGATGTGTGAAGGAAAGGCCCCATGGGTGGCATCCGAAGGTTCACGGGAAACCGCAGTGTCCCCTGTGGGGAGCGGTGGTCCAAGCAGGATTCCAAAGTGCCAACCAGAGCACTGACACGGGAGTCCCCTTCTTTCCTAAGGAAAGGGGAGCAGAACAGGGAGGATCTTTGAGAAAGGGGGAAGGAGGCCTGGCAGAACACAGGTAGACGGCGAGGCAGGGAGTATGGAGGGATGGTCCAGAGCAAGGCAGCTGCTCAAGGAGGAGGGAGCCTCTTTTTCTAAGACCGTCAGTGGGGAAATACTCAGCAGTGGAAGGGTGAGGGATGGGGGCAATCTGTGAAGCGGGGACGCCACCTTCTCCTTCACACTGCCATCCTGATGGGACATGCAGGAGGCTCCCAGAGCTGCCGTGATGAATGGCCACTGACTGGGGGACTCAAGACAAGAACTTCCTGGCTCATAGTCCTTGAAGTCAGAAATCTAAAAGCAAGGAGTGAGCAAGGTTGGTTTCTTTTGGAGTCTCTCAGGGAGCCTCTGCTCCAGGTCTCTCTCCTGGCTTCTAGGGGTCTCTCCAGTTTTCTTTTTGGCTTGTAGAAAATATCTCTCCAGTCTCTGCCTCCTCCTTACCTGGCATTCTTCCCTGTGGGTGTGCCTCTGTGCTTGAATTTTTGCTCTTCTTATAAGAACACCAGCCATTGAATAGGGTCCCACTCTAATCCAGTATGACCTTGTTATTAAAATATACAGATCATTAATATTTTTATTTAAATGCAATGAACAAATTGACAATGAAATTAAGAAAAAAATGTACAATAGTCTTAGGTATAAAACTTGTCTCTGGGAAACTACAAAACATTGTTGAAAAATATTAAAAACACTCTTGGGTGCAGCCGTGCCCACCTATACTCCCAGCGACTCTGGAGGATAAGGCAGGAGGATTGCAAGTTCTAGGCCAGCCTGAGCACCTCAGTAAGACCTTGTCTCAATATAAAAAACATAAAAAGGACTGGAGATGTAGCTTAGTGATAAAGTGCCCTAGATTCAGACCCCAGTACAAAAAAGAAACCTACTAAATAAATGCTCATGGATATAATATCGTTAAGATAGCAATAATCTCCAAATTATTCTATAGAATCATTGCAATCCCTATCAGAATTACAGATTAGTTTTTTATAAAAACTAACAAGCTGATATTAAAATTCATATTGATTTTAAGAGACAGATTAATGGTGGCAATCTAGAAGAAAAGAAAAAAAATAAATAAAACCCATAACAAATTAGGAGGACTCTCACTTCCTGATTTCAAAATTTCTTACAAAGCAACAGTAAACAAGACTGGTATTGATGAAAGGGATAGATACATAGCACAATGACATAGAATGATCTCATTTAAACTTGATTACATCTGTAAAGACCCTATTTCCAGATAAGGTCAGATAAGGTCAAGTCCTAGCTCTTAGGACTTGAACATATCTTTTGGTGGTGGTGGGGACACAGTTCAACCCAATATTAAGTACAAAGAATATAAAAGTATGGAACAGAAATAGGGCTAGGTAGAGTGCTTGCTTACCATATGCAAAGTCCTGGATTTGAGCCCCAACACTGAAACAAACAAAAACCTACAGAAGTAAAGTCATAGCAAGGTCATTAGTTAAAGCAATCCTAAAACTTAACCAAACAATCTCCTCCAGGGTTCATGTTTTGCATAAACCCCAAGAGTTTGCTAAAAGTAAAGATTTACAAAAAGAGTGTTCATCACTGCCCAGACACTGGGAGAAAGTGTCTATTCTTTGGAGTACCTCCTATACACAACATCCTTTGTGCCTAATACTGGGTTGAATTGTGTCCCCACCATCACCAAAAGATATGTTCAAGTCCTAAATGTTAGTACCTATGAATGTGACCTTATCTGGAAATAGGGTCTTTACAGATGTAATCAAGTTTAAATGAGGTCATTCTGTGCCACTGGGCTTCCTCACTGCTTCTTGGGAAGGCTTCCAGGGAAGAAACACACATTCTCCTCACAGAGCTTCTGAGAGACCATGTCTCCTGTCCCCTCCTGTTTCAGATACCCTTTGGATTTGGGACTTACAATTGGTTCTAACCATAAACCAAATTAGTCTCCAACTTTTCCTCTTCTGCCATCTCCACTTCTACCTTCCTTTTGTCATTTGGATTTCTATTCATCCAGCTGAAAACAGATGTTCCACATGTTCTCTGGAAAGTGAATATCTTGAAGATGATTTTGGAACTGTGGTTGCTATAAGGGAAGTGATGGCCAGAAAGAGGAACAATGTCTTAGGGGCAGGAGAGGGAGGGAGGAGCTTGGGACCCTTGCAGGACTCTGGCACTACAGGCAGCTTCCACTCTCCTAAAACCTGTTCAGCAGTAGAAGCCCAGACTGGTTGAACAGGGAGGTATCTTTAAATAGTTCCACTATATTGGAGTCCATGGTCAGTCACATTGGCCTTAAATAATTCAACGTATGGGCTGGGGGTATAGCTCAGTTGGTAGAGTGCTTGCCTCACATGCACAAGGCCCTGGGTTCAATCCCCAGCACCACAAAAATACATAAAATAAAAATTCAGTGTAGCTATGGGCCTCCATCCCAGAAAAATACAAAAAGCTTCATTGACACTCTTGGTTTTATTCAAGTTCAAGACTTAGAATCCCTGATCTAATTCTTTCCCCTTCCTCTGTCTTTGAAGAGAGAACAGGTGAGCAAGGGTAATTGATTTGCTCCCACATTGTACAACTATTTAGAGAGGAGTGTAAGACTGAAGAGCAATTCTTTTTTTTTTTTTTTGGCACTTTACCTCTGAGCCACATCCCAGCTCTTTTTATTTTTTATTTTGAGATAGGGTCTCACTAAGTTGCTTAGGGCCTCAGTGAGTGCTGAGGCTGATCTTGAACTCCGGATCCCATCTTCCTGCCTTGGCATCCCTCGGTTGCTGGGATATGAGTCACCACGCTCAGCTCCTGAGGGGCAAATTCTGGTACTCTTGTCCTAAATCTTATGTAGAAGAGTTTGTTTCCATTAAACAAACATGATTTCTCCTATCAAAGAAGCAGAATATTTAAGAAGACTGTGCTTTTGCTGGGGAGAAAAGAAGTATGGGGATGGAAGTGATGGACAGTCAGTAGAAAAAGTCACCAGCTAGCAAATATTTGAAAATGAGATTGTGTATTATAAGCAGACATTCGAGGTGGCCCTCTACACCAAGAGTAGAGTAGGTGGGGTTACTAAGAGCAATCCTTTGTTATTCCAGCTTTGAAAGACCTTGGCATCAGTCAGGGGCATAGTGGTCTGTGATGGTTATAATGAAAGGCAGAAATTATTGGTTTTAGAGCCTGGCTGTGGATTCTCTGGGGGTCAGAGGGGAAGAAGGTAGCTCATCATTTTACCTCCTTCTGAGAGGCAATGCAATCTGGGGGGATATCTAGAGGGAGAGCACCTCTCCTATTACCAAGATCAGGGACTCCACAGTCAACCCTGACCACTCTTCCTCATCTAGCAACACAACCTTCCTCCTCCAGCATCCAAACCCCTTTACACTGTAGGACCAACTGGGTTCAGATGCAGAAGAGGGGAAGATAAACTATTAACAGAGTCTCAGTTGAGGGGCTTTTACTGGAAAAATTTCAATATAACAGCTCCGTGGAATGTGGAAATCTCAGTTTCCAGGGAGGTCTTAAATTGAAGATGTCCAAGTTTCGGGGATCCCCTCTCCATCGGGTCCGACCTTGATTTTGGAGTTCTTTATTTTGGAAACCCCGAATTGGGGCAGGATTTCTATGAAGGGGGTCTCCAATAGCTTGGGGGCTGGCCATGTGCCCGGCCTAACTCGGCGTCCCCGACTCGGTTTGCGCCTGGGCCTCGGGAGACCAGCAGAGCTAGCCCGCGCGGTGTCCTAGCCTCGAAGGCCGGCCGGGGGCGGGACCCCTCCTCTAGGTCCATCCCTTCGCTCGCCGCCTCCGGAGGCCGGCCGGGGGAGGGGAGGGCCAGGAGGGGCGGGCCGGCGGCGGCGCGGGGCGCGGGCCATGGCGGCGCGGGCGGCGGCTGCGGGGCCCCGGTGAGCCGGGCCGGGCGCACGGGCTGAGGCGGTCACCGAGCGGGGCCGGAGCCGTCGGGGGCCCGGCGACTTTCCCCCGGAGTTGTAGTGTGTTGGGGGGCGGCGCAGGCGGGCCGTGCGCCGAGGCGAGGGGGAGGGGGCATGCCCGGCTGGAGCCGGGCCTCGGGGCGCGCCCCGGCCGCCGTCCCCACCTCCGCCTCCTCCTTCTCCTCCTCCGTCTCCTCCTCCTCCTCTTCTAGTCCCGCCGCCGCTGCAGCCAACATGGCTGCGCTCAGGAGCCCGGGAGGCGGCCGCTGCTGAGCCGCCCGCCGCCCCGGGCCCCAGCCCGCCCGGCACCGGCCCATGGCCCCCGCCGCCTCGCGGCTCCCGGCGCGCTAAGGCTGCCGCCCGGGCGCTCGCCTGCCTTGGGGAGCCCGGGCGCTGTCCGGCGGGGCGGGGCGGCGCGGCCCGCCACCATGGAGCCCCAGCGCCGGGAGCTGCTCGCCCAGTGTCAGCAGAGCCTGGCCCAGGCCATGACGGAGGTGGAAGCCGTGCTCGGACTGCTCGAGGCCGCGGGAGCGCTGAGCCCTGGCGAGCGGCGGCAGCTGGACGAGGAGGCGGGAGGCGCCAAGGCGGAGCTGCTGCTCAAGCTGCTCCTGGCCAAGGAGCGGGACCACTTCCAGGACCTGCGCGCGGCGCTGGAGAAGACGCAGCCTCACCTGCTGCCCATTCTCTACCTGAACGGCGTCGTCGGGCCGCCGCAGCCCGCCGAGGGCGCCGGTGAGTGTCAGACCCCCGCGCGGCCTCTCGCCTCGACCTCTATTCCTTCCTTCGGCAGCTTGCCGAGGGGGATCTCGCTGGGGCCCCTGCGCTACACGGCGATCGCCCCGAGTGACACCTTCTCTCCTTTAGCCCCTGCTGGGAGCGGGCGACGCCTGGACCCCGAATTCACACCTCCTTCTCCAGTCCCGCCGGTCTCTGTGAACAATGCTGCCCCTCCCCCAGGCCTTCTCCCTCCCAGGTGCCACGGCTGCAGGGTCCCCCGGAGGCCACCAGGTCCAGTCGCGGCGTCGGGGTTGAGGGGTGCCTTGGAGGGACGTTGGGTTTCTTTTCTCTGACTCTTCACCGTCTGCTAGTCCTTTGGCAGCCTGTGCTAGCATTTAACCAGTGGCACAATCAAGAAGAAGGGAGCCTGAGCCAGGACCAGTGCAACTGCCTTTTGGTCCCTGCCACCCGCTTTCAGGACTTTTCACTTTTTGACCCAGCTCCCTTCCCTCTGCCCGAAGTTCAGTCTCAGCTCATCTAGACTTGTGGTTGATTTTGCACAAAGCCTGCCCAGGTTTCTTTGGAAACTGGGTCGGGAAAAGTTGGGGGAAGTTGCATTGCAACATGGGAAAATCTTAGTAGTGGTTGTTGGAGCTCAGTTCTGTCCCGAGAGCACTGAGCTGCCTGCGGAGGAAGGCTGGTGGCTGGTACCCTTTGGAACCCCTTCTTTCTCTTGGAAGTGAATGATTTTTCAGTGTGCCTGTAGGGAAGGGGTACTGCTGGGAGTCTGTGAGGAGTGCTTGTCTTGTTCTGGACGGATCAGGGAGTGTGGATGCCAGGAAGAAAGCATTGCACTGAGAAAGGAGCAGAACTAACATTTATTGTGCACCTACGGTTGTGGCAGGCACTCTGCTTTACCAAGTGTTTAATTGTTACCACCATGCGAACTAGCTATTATTCCTGTTTCCCAGAGAGAAAAGTCTAGCTTGGACTGGCTGGAATGCTCAGAAAGTATTGAGCGCCACAAGTTTTGAATTATGATATATTGTTTTGTTTAACACATTCAGAGCCAGGGAACAGCAAGTACATCCTTTCTAAGTCTTGTCCTTAAGAGTTAACTGATGTATAAAATAAAAATAAATGAAGACACATATGTAAAAGGAAAAAAGAAGTGAGCAGAGAGGGCTGAAAAACTGCCCTTAGCAACTTGTAGGGCAAAGGCTAAAGAGACCCATTTATGTGGCTGTTAAAAGCCTCAGTTATTAAGGGAGTGATTTTATAAGGTGTTCCTTGTAATAGCTCTCAACTACATGGGCCATCTCCATTTAGTTTTTATAGCTGAAGGAAACTGACATAGAGAATCTAAACTGTCCGTCACATAGCAGAGCTTGTCTATCAGTAGTCCTGCTGTCTCCACCTTGGGTGACCGACTCTCTTATACCTCTCTCCCTCAAAGCTGCATTCTGGCAAATACAGTGCTTTCCTGGGATTATGCTTTGGAAGATGCTAAGAAGGGGCTGTTGGATGTGGCCCTGAGGGTGGGAATGGGGGAAGGGTCTTATTAGGGCAATTTTTTTTTTCTTTTTAATTACTTCTGTCTTTGTGAAGGAGGAAGTTTATCCAAGATTATCTCCAGAAATCTTTCAGAGGGAGGAAGCACAGAAGTTGGAGTATGGACTCAAGTCTTCATTGGGATGTGTGTGAATCAGTGCTAGCTTCAGTCTCTGGTCTAGGTAATGTAGTGGATGAATTGCTGTTAATTTGGATCCACCCTGACCAGGCCTCCTGGAGAAGGTGGGGCCTCAGGCAGAAGTTCGAGGAGCTAGTCCTGACCGCCAAGAAAGGGATAGAGTAGGGTTTGGATTTTATCCCCAAGGGCAGTGATTTCAGATCTATTTTCCCACAATGCAGAGTTCTGTGGCTTCACGAAATCCTTAGAAAAATAACTTTCAAGGGGAAGTTAAGTTCATTTTATTTAATACATTAGGAAAAAATTAGGATAGTGTTTGGAATGGCGAGATGCCACCTGAAGCCTCTTGGGGAAAGGAGTGACGTGGTGAGTAAACAGTGGGGTGCTGGGGTCTTCCCAAGGAATGGATTGCTCCGAAGTAGTGTCCCCAAACTTTTTTTCTTTAGATCAGGGAGCCCTTCTTATGGGGCATTGCACAGTGTGTAAGAGGTGCTGTGGCTGAAGGGGTGGAGGCTTTGGTCTTACCCCTAAGGGGCCATGATCCGGGAATCCTAGCACTGTGCCCTGAGTGCTTCCACTCCCCAGTGATTTCCCCTCCAAGGCTTTGCCAGTGAGTCGGCCTGCGGCCCAGTGGAGCCTGAGGGAGGAGCTGGCTGGCTTCCCTAGGACCCGAGCATCAAGCAGAAGCTGTTTTATCACCATCTCTTTACATTGGAAATGGTGCCATCACCCATTTAGGAAGCTTTTGTCGTAGATTCCACAACTGAGTGGGCCTCTGGTCGAGAATGTCCATCCCCGGTGGGCACTTGTGCGCTATGGGAGTCTGTGGTGCCCAAGGCAAAGGTCGGCCAGCAGTCCAATTGTGTGGGGCCTGAAACCTGAAGGACCTTGGAGTAGGGCACGGACTTAGTGTTCCTGGGCAGGTGGGCCAATCAAATCCACCTGGCAACTCATGCTCAGTTAGCTGACTCGCTGAGGCCTGGGGGTACAGAGGTGACTAAGAAATATACAGTGTTGGGTTTTGGGGGAAGAATGGGCTCCAGTGCCAGGATTGGTAGTTGCAAGGCCGGTTAGCATTTTGTATCTTACTTTCCTGTTCATTGATTCTCTGGCAACCCCAGGGCAAAGCATGGTGTCTTTGTTACTCTGGTATCCAGGGCCCTATCCCTTACTGAGGAAGAAGTCCCAGGGCTGGCTAGTGCCAGAGGTGAGGCTGAACTCCTTGCTCTTGACTTCTTGTCTGGGGTGGTTTTTTTCTGTTACCCGATCAGGCCTTCCCACTATAATTTTGGGACATTTCCTGTCATTGGAGAACTCTGGAATTCTGAAGAGTTTTCTTGTCCTTGACCATTGATCATAGGGAAAAAAAGAGAACACCTTGGTCTAGCTGCTGGGGTGGGGAGAAAATAGCTGTTCTCCTCTGAGATCTCCTGTGTTTTTTTTTTTCCCCATTGTACCAGAATCTGGTGAATCTAATTTGTACCTTCACAACAAAGAGAAAAAAGTACTTTTCTCTTTGATGCAGTTATAAAATGAAGGATTTCTTCCTTGAGGATCTCAACTTCCTGCCTCTGGGTGAGCTGAGTGTCTTCAATCTGCAAGTTGGGACTTCGGGTGCTCTGCTGTCTGCCTCAGTTCCTGGAGGGCAGGTGTGTTGGGGGAGGATAGAGGCCCTGGTCCTGTGCTTGGCCCTGGGCAGAGGTGTGTAATATCATTCCTTCAGCTTGCTGCCTTGTTGGGGGAGTGGGGGTACTTAGGAGAGGGACATCATAAGATGGACCTATCGAATGATTCACAAACACAAGCAAGATTACTCTTCTTTTTAAAACTATGTACTGCTGTGACACACACCTATGGTCTGCTACCTGGGACACCGAGGCAAGAGGATTGCAGGTAGGAAGCCAGTCTGGGCAACTTAGTGAGGCCCTGTCTCAAAAAGTAAAAAATGGGCTGGGGTTGTGGCTCAGTGGCAGAGCGCTTGCCTCGCCCTCGCACATGTGAGGCACTGGGTTCGATCCCAAGCACCATCTAAAAATAAATAAAGATATTATGTCCATGTATAACTTAAAAAAAAAATCAAAAAGGGCTGGGGATGAAGCTCAGTGATCAAGTGTTCTAGTATGTGTGAGGCCCTGTGTTCAGTCCCTGTATAATACTGCAAACCAAAAACAATATATGTGACACACTTTTTTTTTTTTTGGTACCAGGGATTGAACTCAGGGGCACTCGACCACTGAGCCACATCCCCAGCCCTATTTTGTATTTTATTAGAGACAGAGTCTCACTGAGTTGCTTAGCATGCTAAGGCTGGCTTTGAACTTGCCATCCTCCTGCCTCAGCCTCCCGAGCTGCTGGGATTTCAGGTATGTGCCACTGTGCCTGGCTATGTGACATACTTTTTGCAAATACTTTCATCTATCCTTAGTGACTCTAATTGCCACCTAAATGTGGAGGCCCTTCCCAAATTATTTTACACCAAGCCTCTCTTGGGAAGCAGAAGTGGCAGAAGTTGGTGGTCACCGCCTAAACTTCTCATCCATGTGCTCAGAGCTCCCACTTTCCTTGGTCCTCCTCCCTAGTTTCCTAGGGAAAAGCTGGCTTGCTTTCAGCAGACTTCAGAGAATGGAGACAGCAGTGTCTGAGGAAGGCTTTGTACAGAGAATGGCACTTGAGTAGGGTGGAGGGGAGTGGAGCACACAGGGGGAAACGGTAGGATGCCTGGGCCGCAGACACAGCAGAGCAGGGACTGGCATTGGCTGTGGGTGGAGGGAGATGGGGATGTTCAGGTAACCAGTAGGGCTGTGCCACTAGGCTGAATGAGTTTTTTTTTTTTGGTACTGGGAATTTAGGGGCTCTTAATCACAGAGCCACATCCCTGCCCTTTTTTGTATTTTATTTAGAAACATGGTCTTGGGTCTTGCTGAGTTGCTGAGGCTGGCTTTGAATTTACAATCTTCCTGCCTCAGCCTCCGGAGCTGCTGGGATTACAGGCATGCACCACTGTGCATGGCTGAGTGAGAGCTTTGGATGTTACTTGGATTTTAGGTGTGATAGAAGTTAGCCCTGGAAGACATTTTTTTTTTTTTAAAGGAATAAACCTGCCAGATTCTTTCAGCAGGACTAGTACAGATTGACAGGTGTGGATTATTTATTATTCAGTAGAGGTTACTTGGACCTTTTTTCTCTCCCCTGTTCCCTTTGGGTAGGAGCTACCCTCTATCCTGGAGGGTCATCAGGAGAAAAGGCAGAAAGTAAAAGCTCCGACCATTGTAATTTTTCTTTTCTTTTTTTTTTAATATTGTATTATTTGGAGGAGGTGGCAGAG